ATAAGAGACAGATACCAAACAATATATTTTATTCATTTTTACCCACAATTTCAAGTCATTGTCTTAATAATATCAATCTTATTTCATTTTTGACATATTCGTATTCCTTTACAGTTATTATTTGAAATATAAGTAAATTTAATTTAATAAGTGTTTTTGGATTTCTCTAATAAAAAATGTTCAGTTTGATGTAACTTTGACATATCCAGTTAGGCTGTTGCATATTTTAGTCGCAGCTTTACTACAGTATATGGTTCTCTATCACAAATTAGTTCTCCTCTAACATAACAAACAACTATACATTTTATTGGCTTGATCATTTGACCATTAGGTAAATCAAGGTATTCTTGACTGTAGAGTTTTTGCCATTCATAAACCACACGTCATTGGATATTATTTGCTTACAGGTAGCTTGATATTTTATTTGTCGACATTCAATTGTGTGCTGATCGTGGGTTGAAAATACATCATGGTTATTAAATTGACAACTTTATTTCACCTGGGACTGGATTGGGACTGTATGGACAAATTAAATTTTGTAAAGTGATAGCATACAAATACAGATTTATGTTTCACTTGACTACACCTGATTTTGATTGTTTCCCTCGGTGGTGATAGTAACAATTATATGCATAGCCATAAAATTTAGGTGTAAATAAATACCAAAAAATAGAACCGTCCTCTTTGGTAGGTGAGAGTTTAGACCTATGTTTTGGGGCAGTTCTACAAGTAAAATTTAATGATTAAACAAATATAGTTCACTATAGGTTTAGTGTGTGACAAATTTCACCTAGGAAAGTTTTTTTTTTCAATTTATTTATTTTTTACATAATTATACATAAATAAAAAGAATGCTGTGATTATATTAACTACATGCCACAATTAACAGTATTATCTTGTGTACATCTACTGTACTGTACATACACTGATGCACAAATTAGCAGTTTTATGGCATAAATTCCATTTTTTGCCTGATCTGATTTTACGCACAACTTCCCATTATCAATACCGTTGACCAAGTCCATTATCTGGTAACAGATGCAATGGCAACAAAGCATTAGCCTATTCCATATATGGCAACATGCTTGTGAATTAAGTACCATATAAGTAATATGTGTCTGATTTCAGAAATGAATTTTAGCGTTTTAGTTTTTTTTTTGTCCCAGAAATTACTATGATTGTGAGAAGGTGAAATTATTTAATTAGCTAGAAATTTTTAATTACTGTTAACTACAGTATACAACAAATTTCATTGGATATAAAAAGAAATTTGAAATTAGATATAAAATTAAATTTTAGAAGAATGACGTCTGCCAGTACAGTAGGACCTGTGTCTGTGAATAACATCATTTCCATCATTTCATTTGTTTTCTTGAAGACAAGTCTTTAACCATAGAAGTTTTATACATTGCTTTAAAAATTCTTAAAACTCAATCAATTTTCTGTCTGGTTTAAAAAACACATGAAATTTAATAGAAATAGGATGATATTGATTGGCAAAGTTGAGTTGTTGAGATGAGACTCTCCATTTTAAGGTCACCACAAGTTTTTGTTGAGAATGACTTGATTGGCCTTACTGTAGATGTACCCTTTCTTTACCACCAATGAAGGCTATCCAAACCTGTAGGCAGGATTTTTAAAGAGGGAGGGGGTTGTAATTTTTCACAAAAGGGCACTTTGAGTTCACATCTATCTTTGCCCCATCATTGTTGGGTTAAATTTTAAAATTGTAACACCTCAGATGTCCAGAAATGGAAATAAAAATGCGAAATTAAAAATATTTGGAGTTAATTTCAAAAACTTTCATGCAAATGGTACTCTTTAGTAATGATTTAAAAGGGCATTTCTGGAAAAGATGGTTCTTTCAAATCCCTCAAACCTCCCTGGCTACAGGCTTGCTATCCAATAAATCATGGTTGTACTTTCCCTACCTTTAGTTCATCACATTTATATAAAATTCAATAGGCGTTGTTGCGTGCAAGTCCTACATCAAAAGGCAGCTGATTTTAAAATCCTTACAACCTATTGTTTACGTTTACGGTGTCCTTGAAAAGGGGTTGTGTTTGTACAAGGTACATTTACATGCAGTATTATTATATACCAACAGGGCCTATCTTAAAAACAAACCATACTACAATTCACTTTCTTTTTCGTTATTAAAACAATGATTGATTTGGGTATTGACTTTCATTTACAAGTGAATTCTTTGTGAGACTTGTATTACAGTCATGTCTGACAAGATAGACTGTGTTTTTATTGGAAATCCCTGAGGCGTTATTCATGTCAAAGCCAACATCTGTCAATGTCAGTGTCATGTACATGTTCAGTTATGCTATATCAAACCATTAGGTAACAGAACACTGTTATTTTTATTGATTACCCTTTTTTTTGAAATCATCAAAATTCTGATATTACAATGCAAAAGGTATATCTCTGTTAACAAAGTACAGTATTATATTATTATTGTTATTGAGTTAGGTATATGATCACTCAAAATAATGATGATGATGATGACAAATGATAATAATCATATTCTAATTAAGTCTGCCTTTAAAACTAAATTTTCTTGTGTGGGATTGAGGGAAAGTGGAGTTGGTGCATTATATATTTATTTATTATTATGTTTGTTATTGTTTATAACAAGATTGTCATTGAATGTTTTTGAAAGTTATATAGTGTATTTCCTTTCAAAGATATACTGTAGGCCTAATAAATCACCATACACTTGATAACAAATGATAATCGATAAATGTAAAATTTTTATATACCATTGTATTTTTTTCATTAACTTACTTAGGTCTATTGTTTTTCTCTTTGTAGGTTACTATTCTTATACAGAAATGCCGTTAAAATGTCAAAATGGAAATAAAACGAGAAATTTCAACATCTTACAAGCTGCGTATGTTGGTCCTGTTGGCATGGACCTTGCTACCTATCTCAACATCAACTCCAATGATCTCAATACAGATGTCATCTTAGGTGTGTTTGCTAGTTCGGTGAACCAGTCGACTGATATACCATCTCGGAACACTGCAGTGTGTGCCTTTACCATGAAAAGCATAGCGTCGAAATTTCGGAAAGGATTGCAGTCGTGTTTTGATGGTCAAGGCACGCAGGGATTGAGGTTCTTCTCAGAAGATGCAATCTGTATGCATTCAACGGTGAGTTTGCTTCGGGTGGATATCGCCTACCTCTTTAGGACTCCAAAAGTGTAGTAGTAAAATAGAAATAGTGTCAAATGACAGAAAAGGTCCACCACTACCGTTTAAAACGCGCAGTGTCAGGCTTGCCTTACCTCCGCAGGCCGCATTGGACCTGATAGGTAGGAAACTCACAATCGGCTTTCCGAAGAAAAAAAAAAGAATTTGGTTGTAAAATCTTGGAGCATTAAGAGGTAGGGTAAGTGAAAATTACATCAAAAAACAAAAAAACATGAGACTGAAGTAGATAAAACTTCTTATTTTGCAAGCTTGTCCTCTCACATAACCATTGAACCCCACTTCACCTCTGACCCACATTTTAAGACTCATAGATATGCCACTATTTGGCATATTTTTTCCCTTGAGCTTAAATTTCATGTGCTTACTTAACAGTTTCCTTTTGCTTGCTTATTGCAACCAATTTATCATCTTAAAATTCTGATTCAAAATATGATATAACTTTTAAATTGCAGGTTATCGTTGATAATAATTTTTGTGGTGACTCCTTCAATAGTCCAATTGAGGTCAAACGTTCCTATAACAGCATTGACCTACTGCAAGGGGGAGGCCGCATGGTCCCACTGTCGTCAATTAATGCAATGCCGTATGGCCGTCGCACAGTAGTATTTATGGGAACTAAAGACGGAGAATTATTACATGTGAGTACACCATTAATTTCTGTGCGTTCCTCTTTAGATTTCTTATAATTGCAATATTTTTTCTAATGTATAGCAAAGGTGTAGGCTGGTTTTGGCATGGGAGGTGCACAAAATGAAATCCAGGAATGAGGAACTAAATCCCTTTTTCAATAAAAATTTTTAATGTAATAAAAGATTGTGATCTTAAATCCTTTAACGATCGAGAGAGGTGTGTACTCTCTTGTCTTACGAAAAAGAATGAGGAAGTTGCATGGTTGTGAGGCCGCTTGTACTTGGCGCTAGGAGTTGACTGTTCTATTATTTTTCGAGGGGTGTTCTCTTGATGAAGAGAATAGGCAATTAGTCAGTTTACCCAGGTAAGTATGCGCTCATAGAGTAACATCACCACCATTGATTTTTGTATTTTAACCCATTTTAGTAATGGAACTAACTTGCTGATGTATGGGTGCATCTACATACAGTACACTAGCCTACACCCATGTATAGCAGATATTAGTTACTGTCTTTGTAGAGCTAATCAACTGGAATTATAAAATACAATTTCTTTTTTTTAAATTTTAATGTATAACATTTATATATAGCGCACATGCCCAATTATGTAAGAACTGCTAAAGGCGCTATTTAACTGGTTATTGGATACAGAATCAACCATACACAACATGCAACCTCCTCTGCTCCCTGGGGGGTATTCCTATTTATGCATGTAATCAGCACTACTAATTTCATACCGAATCATTCACCTCCTACCAAGTACCCTTTCATAATCCTGGGTGAAAAGAAGTAAATGTAAATGAAGTGTCTTGCCCAACTACACAAGCAGTGTGATGAGCATCAGTCTCGAACCCCTCACCTTCTGATTGAAAGCTCAATGCCTTACCTGCTGTGTCACACTTCAGTATTGAGTTTACTTTGTATATTCAATTAAAAGTTATTAATTTTTATTTGAAATTCATCAGAAAAAGAATTGTTCTGACCTCTGTCGAATTGATAGTTGATAACTTTATTCAATCCTGTTAAATTGGTGGGTGCCATAGAACAGTAGCCTGTTTTGCACTGTATGTTTTCGACTTCTGAATGTTCGGCCAGTTTTCACACCCTTTTCCACCTACGCAAGCAGTTCAGATACAACATTCAGTTTTGTGATTGTAATGCAGCTTCTTTACAAATATTATATTGTATGCTACATTAAGTATTTTGGTAATTTTCATCACCAAGTAGTCTGCTTAAAATAGGCTTCCCATACATACATAATGCATAGATACTTAATTCATGTTTTTAAAGCAGTTTGGTAAAACAAGCATTAAGTAGACAAGATAACAAAGGCGACAATACATATTATTTGTTCCCAAGTCATTCATCGATAAACAAAACAATATGTTTATATTTTGGCAAATCTTAACGCTTTTCCTAGACATTAAGAATTTAGAATTATTAGTTATCTTTAAAGGATCCCTAATCTCAATGATCCATGCCATCTCCCAACCTCAAAACTCTATTGAATTCCACCTTCTTGTTTAGGGTATTACAATGTAAATGGCTGGAGGTTATGGCACCTCTGCCTTAAATGCTTGGCCATTTGACTTGCTATATAGTGGAGCTCCTACCCCAAGATATCTGGACAATGGCCCTTGATGTTTTTGCAGCAATGAAAGATTGAATTGAATTGGAATTAACTTGTATTAAACATTTTCTCCGCTTTCTGTATGTGCCTTGGTAAAGTTTTGGATTATGTTAATCAAAACGTTGAATTTATTCCCAAGGTGCAAGATTAAAATTATGTTTTGCTTGGTTATTTTGCAGTTGGCTGTTTCTATGTCTGTGCTCATCCTTCATATTTTTATTTCATTCATTGTCCTATCCATCAACTCCCTGTGTTGCTCAATAAATTATCTCACCAGGTACACTATCTCGTCCATATTTCACTCCCATAGTACATAATGCCTTGTTATGAGTCAACGATTTTCATTGCATTTCACTAGGCTGAGTGATATACTGTCGTTCTAGCTTCAAATTCACAATCAAAGCTAGGCTTAAGTTACACACATCAGCTCATGAAAAATTCACATAGAATCCCATCTTAAGTAGGAGATTTAGCATTTTGTTACATTCATGTTATGCACTGTTTCACATAAGTACACTTACTGTATTTACTAAGTGCAAATTTGTGACCTTATTGAACAATATACAGATATATTTGGATTGTTTCAGAAGAAATATTAGCATAATCTCAGATTTATTTTTATTTCTTTCTATTATTTATGTATTTTTATTCATTTTGAATTGCATTCAAAATATTATAAGCACCATTTTCTGTAGCGGTCAAGATTTATAGTACACATCGGTGAAAATTCATAATTTTTTTCTCTTCATTGTTCATCATGAATCAACTTATTTTCTTGGAAGGAAATTACAAATTACTTTAAAATATACATGTTAAAGGCAATGGGGTTAAAGATGAATTAATTTTTATTTATACATTTTAATGCAATACCCAGTAACACCTTATGGGATTTAGTACTTGGAGGAAGGTTTAACAAACAATGGCCAACATTATAATCATATAAACATATGAATGAGATGAAGACTTAGTATATTGAAAATAAAAAATATATAAAGATAAGTACAATACTAAAAATCCTTTTATATTTTATAATAATAGGAATGATATTAAGTTTTTGTTTGTATGAATAAAAACATTAACCATGTTAAAGGTAATGTGGTTAAAGAGAAATAATTTTTGTTTATGTATTTTAATGCAACACCCAGCAAATCCATGGGATTACTTGGAGGAAGGGTTGACAAACAGTGGCCAACATAATAATCATATAAACATGAATGAGATGAAGACTTACTTAGTATATACAGAAAAAAAATTTGAATTTATATAAAGAAAAGCACAATACTAAAAATCATTGTATATTTTATAATGATAGGAATGATATTAAGATTTTTTGTATGAATAAAAACATTACCCATGTTAAAGGTAATGTGGTTAAAGGGAAATTAATTTTTGTTTATGTATTTTAATGCAACGCCCAGCAACACCATATGGGATTTAGTACTTGTAGAAAGGTTTAACAAACACTGGCCAACATCATAATCATATAAACATATGAATGAGATAAAGACTTACTATACAGTAGTACATTCAGAAAAAAAATGAATAAACAGGTATGAAGAAATGTACAATATTGAAAACCATTTTCTATATTATAATAGGAATGATATTAAGTTTTTTTTTTGTATGCATGAAAACATTGCCCATGTATTCTTATATTATTGGTTTATATAAAATGTAAACTAAAACACTTTATTAAGCTAAATAAATTAATGCTTTGTGTTTCATTTAGAAATTATGAAATGGTAACACCCTTGAAATATATTCCTATAGCATCCTTTCACAATGAACGACTGAAGATGCTTTCATTTGAGAAAAAAAAAATCGTGCAACTTGCCTGATTTAATGTCTGGAATTAAATTTACTTTAATGGAACACACATCAAAATCTAATAGTGTACAGAATTTGTGATAATATTTTTTTTTATGGAATAGCAGTTAATCATTTTTTTTAGATGTTAGAAGGATAGAAAAGGCCTGCAGTTATAAATTTAGATTTTTCCCCCTGATTGAAAATGATTGAATGAGCATGGCCTACATTTTATAATATATTTATTATTGTTTTATAATATATTTTTTATTTCATTCTTTAATTAGACAATGAATGACTTGCTTGAAAAGTGTTTTCCTTTTCTGGTAAAAACCACTGTACTGCTCTTCCATATCCTTATTATGTGGTGATGGAGTTGTTTTTAGTTTTAAAAAATTCCATGGTGTATACCTTTGACATGAAATTTGTTGCTAATTAATTATACAACTGAAACTCTGTAGTTTATATAGTTTATGTTGTGATTTTAATAAGATTGATAGTGAAACATTTATATTTTACTAACTTTATAGTGGTTTTCTTTATCTGGCGCCTTACATAATTTTAAAAATGATATTCCTATACAGTAGCATCCTTTCACAATGAACGACTGAAGATGCTTTCATTTGAGAAAAAAAAATTGTGCAACTTGCCTGATTTAATGTCTGGAATTAAATTTACTTTAATGGAACACACATCAAAATCTAATAGTGTACAGAATTTGTGATGATATTTTTTTTTTATGGAATAGCAGTTAGTCATTTTTTTTAGATGTTAGAAGGATAGAAAAGGCCTGCAGGTATAAATTTAGATTTTCCCCCCGATTGAAAATGATTGAATGAGTATGGCCTACATTTTATAATATATTTATTATTGTTTTATTTATTTTATTTTATTTCATTCTTTAATTAGGCAATGAATGACTTGCTTGAAAAGTGTTTACCTTTTGTGGTAAAAACCATTGTGCTGCTTTTCCATATCCTTATTATGTGGTGATGGAGTTTGTATTGATACCTTTGACATAAAGTTTGTTGCTAATATCGAACTATAAACTTGGCGTAGTGTAAATTTCAGATGTCATTACTATTATTACTAATGATAATATTAAATGAATAAGGATAATGTTAATTACAAGGACAATATTTTGTTTTTATATTGCATGTTTAACAATTCAACGGAAGTACAAAAATGTTTATAACTACAACTAGTAAATATGACCAGTGTATAACTTATCCTTTTATAATTTCATGGTATTTGATGTATAGTGTATTTTTCTATTAGCAGGGGTAAAGCAGCTGTAGTGATATGATATATTGTAACAGGCAGCAACACATCAACCATATTTTTTAGTCCACGTTCATATTACTGTCAGGGTTTTATTTCACAGGGCGAAAGCAAGGCTGCCCATGTGTTTTTACAGGGCTACCGTACACGTCTATGCTTGAGGAAATAACAAGCCATGATTGCTATTAATATCCAATCTATTACAAGTATTTTGTGCCTATGATCTTAGAATGGGAATTATTGATTGGTGAGCCAGACTTAATTGCGGACATCAATATCTAACATACTGTAG